CGCCTTGTGCAAGCGATCGCCCGTCACTGGCGAGACCAATTGGCCCCGGCAAAACACCATCGACTCCTACTTCAACGCGAAGAGATTCCACAGCGAGCTGGTGGAGATGACCTGGAAGATGCCGACCACCTTGGCTATCTTCCAACCGAGCACTTTGAGATGGAAGATGAGGTTGAAGAGGAGCACGACCTCCTCACCATGAAGGAAGACGAGCGCCTGATTGTCGAGCACATGGCCCGAGAAGCTCGCTTGCGTCAGGACTTTTCCATGGACACGTGTCAGGTGATCATGATGGAGCTTGCCCACCGACTGGGATGTGCATCTAGCCGACATGGCCGATGGCCACAAGGAAGTCCCTTGCATGTTGTCTTTGGTGGCTACTCCCATGGAAGGTTTGGTGGCCTCACCACATCAACGACCAGGTTTCCAGAGGTAGTGAAGTTTCTCAACCTCTACCTGATGCACCACAATCCCCGCGGACAGTGGTCAAGCTTGATGGTTACCTTCAATGGCCGTGCTCTACCTCATCGCGACCACCACAACATGAAGAACACGACCAACTTGTTACACTGCCTTGGCAATTTCGAGGGTGGTGGCTTGTGGATACAATCTATGGACACTGAAGCGTCCTCATCGAACACTCGCCGGAAGCTGCCAGATGGCAGCATGGCCTTGGGAAAGGTGGCGGATGCCAACAGGAAGTTTGTGACCTTCAGACCCGAGGTTCTCCACGCCACTCAAACGTGGACAGGCTATCGTGTGGCGATATCCGCTTACACCACCCGGCTGCTCTTCGACATGGACTCTGAGGCCCGACAACGACTACGTGATCTTCATTTTCCCGTGCTATCAAAGGCACCAGTTGGTACACCTGATCTACTACCAGCACAGGTCGAGGAGGTTGAGCTTGAGGGTGTGAACCCTCGAGAACTTCGTGACTGGGAAGCTCAAGTGGCGAAATTCCACAAGGCGGCCGGACACCCTACCAACCGCAATCTGGCCCGGATTGTTAAAGACGCAGGACACCCAGGATGGAAAGTGGAGGTTGCCCTTCGACACCAATGCCCCGCTTGCTTAAGTTTGAAGCCTGGAGGTACAAGTTCGGGACAGGTCCCTCCAGCGAGCACCCAAACCATGTACGCCGCATGGGAAGCTGTTGTGTTGATTCTGGCGAGTGGGTACCCCCTGGCAGCCGCACGAAGGTGAAATTCCTGCTTTTCATGGATTTGGCCACGAAGCTTCGGGTCATCTGTCCTCTCTTCACCTACAACTTCCTCGAGATGCGTGCTGAATCTGGCGGTGATCTCATTCGGTCATTCTCTGAGAGATGGCTTGGAGTGTTTCCCAAGCCAAAGATTTTGGTTCTTGATGCGGCCAAGAGCTTTGTATCTGATGCTGTGCATGAGTTTGCCTCTTCAGTGAATATCCTTTTGTCCTATGTGGCGGAGAAAGAAGCTTGGGCCCATGGTACTGTGGAAGCCGGTGTGCAGGATGTCAAGATGACCGCCTCGGCCATCTACCTCGATGCAATGGACCAGGACCCCTACGTGACCCTGCACTTGGCGACATCAGCTCTCAATTCTACAGAATACACGGCTGGGTTTTCGTCCTTTCAATGGGCCTACGGCAAGGAGTATTCACTGACTGATGAAGATGTGCGCACCTACACGGCGGCAAACTTCAAGGATGAGTTCTCCAAGCTGGTGGCGCTACGGGAGAAGGCAGAAGTGACTGCAAGACACACTTGTGCCAAACGCGTTCTCTCCAAGCTGGGCAACACCACCGTCCGACAACCACTTCGTCAGTACCAACCTCTTGATCTTGTCAAGGTGTGGCGCAAGGTGTGGCCCAGCACTCAACATCAGGGACCCAGGGGTGGACTTAAAAAGTCTGGCAGGCCACATTGGATTGGGCCTGGGCGAGTGGTCTTCAGTGAGGTTTTGCCCCATCAAGAACAAGGCGATGATCGACGCCACATTGTGTGGGTTCTTGTTGGAAGCCAGCTGTTTCGGTGCTCCATCCATTCGGTGCGTCCAGTGACCGAGACCGAACGGTTTCAATTCGAAACCTCGGGCGAGGAACGGCCAGACGAGTGGAAATCCTTGTCTGATGTGCTGCCTAAGAGGGAGTACTTCGATCTAGCTGATCACGCTCCAGCAGAAGATGAGGTGGAGACCCCTGACCTTCCACGTCAACCAGATGCGTCTACTATGGCTCCACCTACAAGACGGGTATCCCGCAAGACAAGATTCGCCCCAGAAGGAGCGACCGAACCGGCAACTCCAAACGAACCAGGTCCTTCGTCATCGTCGTCCCCAACCACAACTACTGCTCAGGATGAAGGTCTTTCGTCTTCCTCAAATACGGTTCCTAACCCTGCGTTGGTTCGTCAATCTGAGGAAGATGTCAATGACTACGACGACACGGAGATCAAGCGACCACGGCTTGATGAGAACTGGGTTGAGCTCTTAAAGGCCGAAGCGACTCAGGAGTCCAAGTTCGACCTCTTCCACGCCATGGAAGCCACTGAAGAGTTCATGAAAATTGAATTTGACTTGGATGCGCCTAAATCCAATCGCCAAAAGAAGATGCTCCTCCACAACCCGACGGCTTATTTGGTTCGAAAGATGAAGGATGCTGAAGTGGTTCTTTCGAAACTTTCTCCTGGCGAGCGTGAGCTCTTTTCGGAGGGCAAAGGCCAAGGAGGTGGAATCCTTCATCAAGAACGAAGCTGTTCGCCGCTGCACGGATGATGCGGAGATTCGGCGGGCCTACGAGACTCGGCGCATCGTACGCGCTCGCTGGGTCCTCACATGGAAGCTCACACCCAGTGAAGACTTGGAGGAGGCCAAGAAGGATGCTGCGGAGAACTCCAAGTCAGTGCATACCAAGGACGGCCTCAAGAAAGCAAAGGCTCGCATAGTGATCCTCGGCTTCGAGCACCCGAGCTTGCTCGACCCGAACTTTAAAACTGCGAGCCCGGTCCAGTCTACGCTAGGCCGAAACTTGATCTATGCCATGGCTGCGCACCATCAATGGCAGCTAGAAGGTCTTGACCTGGCCACCGCGTTTCTCCAGACCCAGGCGACGGAGGCCGACCAGGAACTCTGGACAACTGGAGTGCAGGAGCTCCGAGATGCTCTTGGCGTGGGCTCCGAGGAGGTGATGCGTATTCTTCGCAACATCTACGGAAGTACCACTGCCCCACGAGGACTCTGGTTGGATCTACACAACACGCTCACGAAATTGGGCGCTGAGCCAGTCTTGGGCGAAAGGTGCCTCTGGGTTTGGAAGTCAGCTATAGAACGAGATGGCCCTTACGCAAAGGCCATAGTGATGGGCGGCCATGTCGATGACTTCCACCGCATCGGCGACGACTCACCGGAGTGGCTATCCATCAAGGAGTCAGTGAACAAGGCGTACAAGTGGGGAACGGCCAAAGTGCGATCCTACCGGCACGCCGGAACCGATGTGATCACCGTTCCCGACGAGCTTGGTCACGACTCCATTGAAGTCAACCAGGACTACTACACGGAGGCCATCCCCGACATCGACATCGACCCCGACAGGCTGCGCATGGATGGCGACCTGAATCACAAGGAGATCAATGCGTGCCGCGGATCTCTTGGAGCTCTACAGTGGGCAGCCACGCAGAGTCAGCCCTTGGTTTGTGCTCGCTGCAGTCTCCTCACTTCCGAGCTTGCGACTAACCCCACGATGGAAGTGGCACGAGAGATTCAAGCTCTTATTGGCGAACTTCGTGCTCAACCCACGAAGCTTGTCTTCAGGAAGTTTCCAGATGCCAAGGACTGGCGCGACATCGTCTTCATCAGCATGGGAGACCAAGCCCATAACAACCGCCCAAAGGGCGATTCCACCGGAGGCCTACTTACCTTGATGGCTGGCCCAAGTTGTGTGGATGGGAGAGTGTGCCCTATGAGTCTCCTAGCATGGCGAACCTGGAAGCTGAAGCGCAAGGCCATCAGCAGCAATGATGCTGAGGTTCAGGCAATGCTTGAAGCAGAGGACTCAAACTTCCGCACACGACTACTGTGGAGCGGTCTCCACGGAGCTGGACAAGGCGATTCGGGACTATCACTACGTCGTGATCTGGTGCAGCATGTTGAACAACAAGTCGTCAACATCAAGGGCATCATGTGCACCGACTCCAAAGGCGGCTTTGACGCCATTGAGGTCAACGAAAGTCCCCTGCTAGGTCTGTCGAATACTCGAGCTTCTCTGCAAGCTTATCAGCTACGCGGCAATCTACGACGAGCTGCTGGTGATCTTCGCTGGGTCGCCAGCGATTACGACCTTGCAGACCCTCACCAAGAAGAGACCGGACTGCCGTGTTGGTCTAACTCGCTTCCTGCAGACTGGTGTATGGTGCATTAAGTACGACCCGCAATTTCAATCTGCCAAAAAGAACAAGAAGGCTGGTCGCACAGCTGTTGGGGAGATCGATGACTACCTTGGAAGTGACCCCTCGTCTTCGTGGCTTTCTGTGATGCTTCAAACCTGGCATCGCTGAGTTTTCTTGGGGCTGGTGCAACTCCTGTAATCAGGCAATGTCACCGATGCCATGTTCGCTGCGAAGGCTCGAACGAGGGGCCCCTCTTTTGGTGTTTCGTAGAGTGCCTTTTGAGCCATAGCGGACCGAGCTCTGCGCTCGCTTGAAAACAACAGAGCTCTGAGCTCTTAGACTGTTCGTGCGCTGTGGAGGGTTCTTGCTGTGTTACTCCGAAGCCCAATACCTGCCGTTGCACCACTCGCTGCATTGGCAGCGGAGCAGTGGATCCGGGTGCCTTGGCAAGAAACCTCCTGAAGGAGATTATCTGTGCTCACCTGGTTAGCCTAGCTGCTCTGGCTATCTTTTTCAGACATTGGTCCCAACTGCTCACGATTCATTTGTCCCACCTGGACTGTGTCGACCTGCTCTGCCAGCAGTTTTTTCGATTTTCTATCTTTCTTCAATTTTCGTGCGATCAGACTTTGTGAAGATGGCGGACAATGCGGATCGTTCTCAAGTGCCATCGTGGGATGGGTCCGCCAGGACATGGCGGCGTTACACAAGGGAAGTGGCTTGGTGGGTCACATCGACCCCAAGCCACAAACGACGATACTGTGCGAGCAAACTGCTCAGCCGACTGAGTGGTCCTGCGAGGCTGTTGGCTATGTCGTGGTCCAGATTGTCCTTTGACTCCGAGAACGGGACTAAGGTTTTGCTGCAGAGGCTGGCGGCTTCGCCGCTAGTACGGCGCACTTTACCGAATGCTGCTGCGATTTGTCAACAGTATTTTTCGTTTCGTCGTAATCCCTCAGAAAGCATAGGCAACTTTCTTGTCCGAGAGACACTGGTGCATGAAGAGTTCGTCGAGGCTATCATCAGGCTTCATGAAGAGAAAGTGGGCATCTCCCAGGAGGCCAGAGACTTCGGCCTTCCAGCTGAAAGCGATGGTGATTGGCGCGAATGGAACGACGCCTCATGGACTACTGGCTAATGGGATTGGTGGAATGACGACGGCTACGACGGCGAGGCAGCTGATTTACCTGGTGGAGATTCTCCAGAACATCGGCCTCCTGGAGAAGGTGCGGAAGGACAGGATGGAACCGAACCTCCTGTGGCTGCACCTGGTTCCTCGCCTAGCCATCGTGGTGACGGCGATGCTCCACTTCCTCGTGAACCTGCTGAAGCTGCTCCTCAAGCCGATCAAGCGGAAGTTCCACGTGAAGCTGTTGACGAGATGTCTGTGGCCGACTCCTTTATCTTGGGAGTCTTACGAGGCTGGCGACTTCTACAAGCAGCTGGACTGTCCGCCGAAGAAAAACGTGATATACTGAGCAGCACCAAGAATTCTCTTGACTATGAGGTGGTTGCGGCTGCACTTCAAAGTCTTTGGGATGATCAGCTTCTTGGACACCGCAACCACTCTGGACATGGAACCTACAGCCTCAACTATGCCGCCCCGACGGACGACTCCTACGACGCGTACCCGATCACCAGTGGTGGCCAGAGAGCATGTATGGCGAGCACTACGAGGACGCGTGGGATGATCACACTGGATGGTGGGAAGATGAATGGCCTGGACACGAAGGACTCCAAGCCACGACCACTACGGAGGATCTTTCTGCTGAGGATCAAGAGCGCCTACGTGAAGCACAACAAGCTGAGCGAGTTGCCGAGAACTTGGCAGCAGAAGCTCAAAGGACATGGACGGAGGCACAGCGGGCAACACAACAACTCCGTCGCGATCGAGGTTTTGGAGCAGTGACTTCTTCCTCGAAGGGCGCATGCTTTGAATGTGGCGGTCCCCATCTTGCTCGTGATTGCCCTCATCGAAGGCTTGGCTTCAAGGGCAAGGGCAAGCCAAAGGGTGGCTACCAGGCCACCATGGATGACCCGAGCCTCTACTACCAGTTCAAAGGCAAGGGCAAGGGCAAGAGCAAGAAGGGATATTGGTCGGAGGCCCAAGCCGCTTGGACCAAGGGGAAGCAAAAGGGCAAAGGCAAGGGAAAGGACCCACTTCGGACCGTTAATGCCTACAGCAACGAGTACTTCATTGGTGGCCTTGAGCTTCGAGATCGCTTTGACTTGAACTCTACAAGTATGGCTTCTTCTTCTCCGAGCACTGCGATGTTGGACTCCGGCGCAACCGCGTCGGCGGCACCTGAGGCCGTAGTGCAGTCTCTCGTGACAGCTGTGCTGGCGCAGGACCGCCAAGCTCGCATCGAATTGGACCAAGCATCGCGGCCATACTTTCGGTTTGGCAACGGGAAGTGGGGACGTGCCCTTTGTCGTGTCATCATTCAAAGCAGAGCCTCAGGACATCTTCGATCTTTTGCATTGTACACTTTACCAAACCCTGCAGAGTACTACCAAGCACAGTTTGACAAGAGCACCTTAGTTCCTATCCTCATCGGAATGGACTTCATCGGCCCCGAAGGTGTTGGAATGCTGATAGATTTTGCAACTGGTTTGGCAATGTTCACCAAGGAGTCCTCCCCCGAGATCTTTCAGTTGGATGTGAACTCTAAGGGCCACTACACCTTGGATCTTGTTCAATACCTAGCTAGAGGGCACAAGGTTGTGGATGGA